CTTAGGTCAGTGCATCAGATAAAAGTCCAAGTAAATGCAAAATCTAACTTAACTTGGTCAACTTTTATAGCTTGAGGTGCCTTAATTTACCCTGATTTATCTGAAGCTTAATGTTTTATGCCCAGCAAAGTGATTATGCTAGTTTACACATTGTATGTTTTTATTTATGTTTTTACTAAAAATGTACTGACTCGTTTTCTGACTCCACCTCGGCGACGGTAAGTCCCACCATCCTGGTTTCTCAACAAGGGAGCCACTTGGAGAAGAACTGCGCGGTTCCTAATCGCATCGTAGTCCTCGTGTTGTGTGATGCATTTTATCCGTTCAATGGAACCATCAAAAACCATCTTTGCAGATGAATTTGTTACCTCTCTGCAACATCGAAACTCCAGGGAACCAACTAACGTCCCGGTATTACATTGCTTGCAGCGACACCTGAAGAAGACAGCAAAAATGAATTGTTGTCTAACAAAGATTTGCTATAAGTATATATACAAGGAATTTTAAAGGACCAGTTTTACTAACCAGGAGTCTACGTCTACAGTTCTCTCGTATCTAGCCTCCAGAGTTGACGGGGTAAGTCCATCAACATCGGTTTGTTCGCTCGAAACGCCAGTTTCTTCGTCGTTCTCGTCCGCGAGCGGCTCATCTTGATATGGAGCTATCACACCAGTGATAACTCCCCATTCCTCTTCAGAACTGTCGCTTATTCCACAATCCATACTTTCTATAGAGTCAGACGACTCAATACTCTCGGAATCGCTGGACATTTCGAAGCGTGAAACGATAGAATTGAGCGAGTAATCACAGCGTGTTACAAGGAAAACACTGAAAGTTGTTGACCTTGCCAATCATAGGATCAAACAACCTGACGTCACGAGTCCCAATTCTCGGCCCAGTCTCCGGGAACAATTTTACACATAAATTTAGCGTGTTTCGGGCGCTAAAAATCGACGAAAAAAATTGTTTCATTCATTTTAAACTCTCAAACCGTTTATTATACACATGGAACTAGCTATCAACGAAAAAAAAAATTTCGTGTCATATACACTTTAAAGAAGTTTTGATTTGCAACTTATTTGGTATTAGATGAGTGAATCTCTGATGCAGGTGTGAGAATATTAAGTAGTACAGCTGGGGTGTTACTTTTGTCATTCCTAAGTTTATATGTAAAAAGTGATACTTTTAGTCTGCAAATATTTTCAAGTTTCAAGATTCCAAGAAGATTATAATAGGGGTTGACATGTTTTCTGCCATGAGCAAAGAACATGCTTCGTATACATTTATTCTGCCTTTTGCAGATTTTAGTTAATCTAGTTTTGTAAGCAGCGCCCCAGCTGGCAAGACCATAGTTTAAGTATGGACAAATAATGGTATAATATAACTGTTTGAGGATATGAAAATAAAGATAGGGTCTTAACTTATTAATTATACCTACATTCTTTGCTAATTTATCACTCACATGTTGAATTTCGGATTCCCACTGTAGATGCTCATCAAGGTATATACCTAGATATTCAATATAGCTTTTGCAATCAATATTGTGGATATTTAAATGTATTTTTTTCGTTGATGATGTTATAAGCATACAATTAGTTTTCTTAAAATTTACAGATAACTTATTAAATAACACAGTATTTTAAAACTAACTTATCTCTTCATTCATTGTAAGTTCAACCTCGTTTGGAATACTACCGGTAAAGAAAATATTAGTATCATCTGCAAATATTCTAAAAGAAAGCTTCTCAGAGGAGTTTGGTAAGTCATTAATATAAAGCAAGAATAACAATGGCCCAAGCGTTGAACCCTAGGGAACTCCACATGTAATAGTTTCCATACTGGATTCGATTTCATCAATCTTTACAAATTGAGTGCGATTTCATAAGTAGCTTTTAAACCATTTAAACACGAAGGCGCGCTAGAGAAGGAAGTCTTCCCTGGGAAGACCTAGGCTCATTTGTCACTCACCGTTGACGTGTGCGGGTCAAATTTAAATGCTTGTAGACGAACAAAAGGAGCTAATGAGATATCTATTGTTTACTTTCACCAGCATGGTGGCATGAGGTAACGTGCGAACCACCTACTTCGATCTCAAATTTACCGCCACAAATAAAGACAGTTTCCATTGGAGAAAGGAAATACAAATCTCAAAAATTCTTGTATTGTGATGAAGACATAAAACAATTTTGAGGAATGTGCCCGCTGTTCACTGCTTTGGAGTAGCTGTAGCTCAAGCTGACTTAACTCTAAGAGTTCTACATCACACGACGGTTGATTGATAAATGGTCCAGTGGGACCTAAGGCTCCTTTTATAGCTCGCCTTCGTGTTTAAATGGGGTTCCATGGATTCCATAAATATATAATTTAGAGAGCAGAATATTATGGTTAACTGTATCAAGTGCCTTTGAGAAATCGAGGAGTAGGCCACAAGTAATTTGTTTGTCATCTATAGCTGAGTTCAAGTTATCGGTAATTTCTAAAATAGCTTGTTCGGTAGAATAGCCTTTCCTAAAGCCAAATTGATATTTATATATAATATAATTTTTTTTTCTTAAAAACAGGTAGAGCTGGTTATATATTACATGTAATCGCTCCAACAAAATTGCTAAAGGACGAGGGTGTGGCAATAGGTCTGTAGTTTCTAGTATAAGTGACCTCACCCGACTTATAAATTGGTACTATACCGTTTGCGATAGATTGGTTAGATATATGTAAAGGGTATTGATAATGGCTCAGAGGCAATGTTAATTTATTTGGAATATCTAGTGAAGTTTTGTTTTCATTCAGATTTTGGAAAAGCCTACAAATTTGTTTTGCCTCGACAGGGGACATGATAAGACTTGAGACTGGTGACTTATTAATGTATTTGGTAGGCTCCTCATCATAATGATCAATAGTGTTCGCCAGGCTTGGGCCCACACTAATATAATACTTCTTGAATTGTTCTGCAATGTCTAATTTATTAGTGTAAGTCTTTTTATTCACTATAATTCTTGAAAGTGACGTTTGTCCCTTCGTTTTCCGTTTAATTAAAGTACCGATTAGTTTCCATGTAGCTTTCAAAGTATTCCCGTACAGGTTGAACGGCTTACAATGAAAAACCTCGGTCTTTAAGTGGTTAAGTGGGTCAGTTTTTAGCATATTTTTTATATTCTGCTTTTCTTTTTGGGTTATTTGAGAGAAGCGTGTTCTATTTAATTTAATTTAAATTTATTCCATTTTCACTGCATTAATTTGCAGTGGGAAAGGACTAGAAGGGAACATACGAACCATTCGAGCTGGTCCACCCTCCCACCCATCCCACCCCAGGGGAGGACATCCATCTCACAATAATCTCGTGTGTGGGAAATTAACGTCTCCTACCCCAACCCTGCAGGAGACGTGACCTAATAACTTTATTTATCCTGTTAAGAGACCGGTCAGTCGATCAAGATATAGATCGACTAGTATTAATCGGTAACCAGTTAAAAAGAATTTACAAGCAATAAGAATTACAATTACAAATCTAAGAAATTGTAATGTAAATAAGCTTGGCTCACACTGATATCAATCGAAAATTATCCGCTGAGAATCACTCAAAAGTCAAACAGTTTGACAAAGAAGATATTCTTGCCAGATTTAAAAGTGCAGAGAGCACTACAACTTCTGTAGCCGTTTTGGTTTTTTTATCTTCCAGCACAACAAACATCTTACGAGAATATATTCTTCCAATTTACTTTGTAGGATTATGATAATGTATGTTAGGTTTTATAACGTATTTTTGCGTTCAACGTCACAACGGCAGAGCCTTTTTTGAAGGCGAATCCAGTGGTTCGTTTAACTCCACAATCTGCATTTACTGCAACAAAAACTTTAAATCTTTTGACTGTGTATCGCTTGTAAATATGTTCGAGATTGTGAAGGTGACAATAATAATCCAATGCACTTTTAAAATAAGGAAAAATATCTTGACGTTTCGAGGCTTCAGTCGCTTTATCATCCGCAGATGATAGCATTTAATTTACTAGTCTGTATTTTTATAGAAAGGGACAATTTAAAAAAGGTTATACAATTTTATTATATAGGTTTCGTGGCCTTTTTTTGTGTGAATTAAACCAGCCGAACTTGTTATTAAACCATGAAAAGTTTCCCTGTATTCTGCAGGCTATTATTTTTTCTTAAGTCAGCTGTTTTATACTGGCAGTTCAATCTACTTTGTTTATGTTTTAAGGTCGACTACTCCAATGTACTGGACGAAAGATCACGATTTACTTTTAGTTAGAGAAGTGCTAACTGTTGATCCGTATAGCCAGCCGAAGGGAAGTAGGGAGAGAGCGAGACTGTGGGAAGAAATTGCCTCAAACCTGAGTGCAGTGTCTGAGCCCCGTTTCTCAGTTTCTTTGAGGTCTGTAAGAGACCGTGTAAACCTGGTTCTAATAAAGAAACACAAAAGAAAGGCTGCAGAAGAAAGCAAGGCCAGTGGAATAGCAGTTGATGAGCCTTCAGAGTTTGATGCAGCAATCGAAGAAATATGTGAGAAAGCTGAGGCTGCAGAGAGAGATCAGCAAATGATATCAGTGGAAAAAAAAGCCAGTGCAGAGAAAGAGAAAAAGCAAGTGGAGGATATTAGAGCCAAGGCTTTGGAGANTTTCCAGCGAATGAGGGTTGAGGATGCTATCATTCCACTGCAAAATTCTGTGACTGTGTGCCTGGTAAATGTAGTCGATCATGTAGTTGTTTATCATGCACAACACTGGAACAGGCTTCCCAAAGCGAGCTATCATGTCTGAATATCGACAAGGATAGCTATGTCTCTTTAGAAAAATGCAAAGAGCCTCCAATCCACTACAGATACTTCTTTGATAGCATTCCACTACCTCAGGAATCCCCAATACTTCGGCTAGAAGTGGTAAGTCGTTCTTGTAGAAACGAAACTCTGAACGGCACTCGTCGTCTTCTAAATCATCGAAGTCAAAACCAGGATAAGAATTATACGGAAGATCGACATTATCGGACCTGTTTAAATCGTACAGGAGTAGAAGTTCCTCATCGTTTATCAAACCATCACTGTGGCTAATCAAAAGTTGATTTCGAACTTCTTTCAAAGACATAATGAGCGGCGTTTTGTAATGGCTGCTTAACTGTTTAGAAATTCCCGCCACGACGGCGTTCTCTCCCCAGTCTTATGCGGGTTTAGGAGTCCCCGTCGCCGTCCCCGCTCTCGTTGCTTAAAGTCCCTAGAGTCGGCCCCAAGACGCTCCCTTGGGGAACCCTAGAAGGCATTGAGCGGAAGCTGGATCTTTGTCCGTTTAAGACGGTATACTGTAACCTGGATGTAAAGTAGCTCGTCAACCAGTTCAATAAGGGTCCGCATATTCCAAATTGACATCGAAGCTTGTTCAGTACGATGCCGTGATCTACATAATCGAAGGCTTTCTTGAAATAAATGAATGCCACGCCCACCACAAAACGAGTGTCTATTGAATGTCTCCAGGTTTCTGTTAAATGGACGAGCAGAAGCTCAGTGGAGTAGCCCTTGCGATATGGCCATTGATTTTCTGTTACCAGGCGATAGTTTAAGACATGGTCGACAATCGCGTCATTAACACATGACTCTAAGATCTTGCTTGGCACGCTGAGGATGGAGAGAGGGCGATAGTTTCCTCTATCCGTTTCGTTGTCTTTTTTTATGTACTGTAGTTAGTTTTGCTGTTTTCCACTCCAGGGGGGACAACACCTGTCTTAAATCTTGACATAAATAGGGATGCACCCCCGTTGGCATACCTATTTATGTCAAGTTTTAAGACGCGTTGTCCCCCTGGAGTGGAAAACAGCAAAACTAACGACAGTACACAAAAAAGACGACGAAACGGATAGAGGAAACTATCGCCCTCTCTCCATCCTCAGCGTGCCAAGCAAGATCTTAGAGGCTGGTGGACTAATGGCTGGTTTGCTGTTTTCTCTTCCAGACTGCGTGGAATACTACTTCGAGTGACAGCGAAAGTGAATTGGAAAGCAGACGAACGGCCCTGCTGAAGCAACTTAGTGCTGATGGGGACGATCACTAGACTGTGGCTAAGAAACCAAGAGAAAAACGCGACTTCGAATGTAAATAAGAACTTCGATTAAAAGTTTGCTCCCACCTTCCTCTCCCCCTCCCCTGAGATGTAGAATCGAAACAATTGCCTTCTTTCGAGGAATTTGATCCTTTATTGTCGTGTTGTGTTCTCTCTTTCTCAATATTAATCCTCTTTTCTTGCCCAATTGTATCACGCTACGTGATGTCTTTGAATTCCTTATATGAAATATGATGTTCAAGTATGCTCACCACGAGAGCATATCACATGACGTTATAGGTGTAAAGCCGTGTTTAATGTTTAATAACTGACGTAGCCGTAATTCAACCGCGTTAGAGACAGGTAAGATTTGAAAGCCAGCGTTATCACATGACCCGTGCGCTTTTGTTGGAAGGAGATTTTTTTTAAAGAAACCCTAAGAGGGCCGTGAGCATTAGCGGAAACGGGGCCGTCAAAATCTTACGGCCCTGCGTGCGACCCCGTGATTTCCCAAAAGTCATTGAAAAATTAAGGAAGATAAATAGTGTTGGTCATAAGATAAAATGCGTACGGACTTGGTCAAGCAAGAATTACAAGTTGAATTAGTTAGGTCGCGCCGGTTCATAATTATGAGGCTCTTGGTCCTGACTCGAGTACCTCGCCGTTCTCGGTCGTAATGTTATGACCTCGATCCAATAATTTTGCCGTCCGACCCTCCCACCCGATCAATAAGTTCATATTATTGCATATCTTTAATGTTTAATCTAGCTTCAAGCCAGCTTCGTTACCTTAATCATTTATTTAAGTTCGTAAGTGTAAATCCTGGGATAACAAAGAAATGGGCTTTGCCGAGACCAATCTAATTGTCACCATATATCATTTGTGGAGACCGTCTCTTCAAAGTAGTACAACCTACCTGTTCAATTGTCTTGCTAGTGTGGTGTACAAACAAAAGCTGACCTATGTACCACTGAATAGATACTGCGCCAGAAAAACCTCCTATGTCTCTTGTAACCTTTTGAAACATTGCTTTTCTTTCCATATCATCCAGTCCCACGGGTACAGATAAGGTCTCTAACTGCTGAGTTATGTTTCAGTGAAAGCAATAATTTTGTATTTGTATTTTTTTTATTTCCTCCATTTCAACAAATTAGAATCTAATGAATAATTACAAGAAAGATAAGAAGAGGGGGAAGGGCATAATATAGCAAGCTAATAGATGTCCTATACGTTAAATTACATTTTTCATATAGTTAAAAGAAGCGATACGAATATAAGAGAGGGAATAGGAATCACACCCACAACAAATATGTAAATAAAGCATGATCAGAGGAAGACATTAATCAGTACTGAGAAAGGTAATGTAAGAAAAATGCTCTTTTAGAAAGTTTTTAATTGGCTTCTCCTGTATGCACCGAACTCATAATGGCGGACGGCTCGGGGAAGCCTCGGTACGAGAACATGAAAACGAGGCGGATAAGGATGGGAAATAATTTCAACATGGCGACGCCTCGTATGGACACGCTTACTATTCCGGTCGACATTAGATAACATAGGGTGAAGTAGACCCGAATGATTAGCATTTTCCGATCATGGTTGTGACGTCATCTTCCGACCGCACTGTAAACTTCGGAAATTAAAATGGCGGCGTAAGTGTGAAACTAGTAGTTCGTGTCGCGCACGATTGCAGGCTGTAAGCTTAGACTAGGCCACGCATCTTTTTAGTGTACGGAGTTGCAGACTAATAAGCAACTCGCTGGACAAGCAGAAGAATGTTTCCGGACCTACTTACTTAAATGAAGGACTCTATGCTACCTCACCCGATGTTACTTTTCAGTACAACAGGACAATGTATAAGTACATAACATAGGGTGAGGATTAATCATAATGATGTCTGAAGCAATACGATAAACCCAAGCCATACTTTTTTTTTTTTGCGTTGAAAGAGGGTGTTAGTAACGAAGTCCTTAAAAGTAACATATTGAAAGGAAGCAACTTTGAGCGAAGTCACATTTATTCATGATTATGTGCTTGGGCTATATGTGTACTTTAAAATCAACTACTATCCTTACTATCCCATCGAAAGCTAACATCAGAACCAATATAAAATAGAATTGCGAGTGTTGCAAGTATCTTTGAGGTTTACCGTTTTACGCCATACGAAAAGCCAGCTATACATACAACAAAGGCTATAACTAAAGAAGAGTAACCTTTCCATCCCCTCGCCCCTCAGTCTTGATGGTTTCGCCAGTTAAACTTTAACTCCCCTCTTCCTCTGAGCTGCCTGTTCAAGCGGGAAAATCTGGCGGGAGAATTGAATGTGGTATCTATGTCTACAATGGAAGAAGCGAAAGAATCTTCTTTTTCCGTGGAAATTTCCGAAACATTTGGCTACGTTCAGTCTTTGGATCATGCCAAAAAGATGATTTCAAAATATGAAACGACGAACACCGTAAAAGTTTCCAGTTACAAGGCTGACAAGGACTTTGGAAATCATGGTGTATACTATTGAAGTTAATCATTCACTAAAACAACTACACTTAACCAGGAACGTAATTCTTTCCTACAGAATCATAAACTTCCATCTTCATTTAAGAATTTCATCATACACTCAATAGAATAGCTTCTGCTATTTGAACATACACAATCTTCATCATTATTTTTGCTGTGATTCCTCAGTTGGTTTTATAACCAGCTGCATTTCATCTCTCTTTGTAAGTGCATTCAGAATAAAACTAATAATCTCTTTCGACAGTAAATTGCATTTAAATTTGAAGCGCAGCCAGGATGAGACATATTAAAATACACCAAAAACGTTCTTTCTCAGTATTTAAAGTGCACCTAAACCCAAAAAATTTTTTTCGCTTAACGAAATAAGCGTATTTTTTGGAGTATTTCTGTGCAAACATTTTTTTATTTGTTCAAATCTTCAATTGTCTGTGCCCAGTCAAAATACGGAAAATCGACCGCCATCTTGCCCCACGGCCGAGTTTAAAGAGGAATGGCTCTAGCGGGTAATGTGACGTCAAATCGAGAACACGAAAGTCTGCTTTTCACACATTTTCACTTGTTTGGGAAGGTTGTAGTCGATATTGTCCGAAATATGCCGACCAGGTGTATTGTATGAGGAATGTATGAAGTGTGATACCCTCTTGCAAATTTCGCACGTTGCTACATCCTCCTATAACACACTTAGTCGGCATATTTTCGGACAAAATCGACTACAACCTTCCTAAACAAGCGAAAATGTGTGAAATGCAGACTTTCGTGTTCTCGATTTGACGTCACATTACCCGCTAGAGCCATTCCTCTTTAAACTCGGCCGTGGGGCAAGATGGCGGCCGATTTTCCGTATTTTGACTGGGCACAGACAATTGAAGATTTGAGCAAATAAAAAAATGTTTGCACAGAAATACTCCAAAAAATACGCTTATTTCGTTAAGCGAAAAAAAATTTTTGGGTTTAGGTGCACTTTAAATTTTTTTAACTNCGTTGTTAGGAAACGAAGTGTAGCAGGACACAGCAGAATTGTCGGCGCGAAATCTTTCAATAGAAAAAGTCTACTTTTTAAACATTCATTCTTCTTTGAAATGCTTTCTATTTCTCTTTAGAGCTCTTCTATTCTCATTTCATACTGTTTCACAAGCGCGACAACACTCTGATCACTCTGAATGCATGCATCCTTCGACTCGACCAAATCGGTCTGAGTTTCGACATCTTTTGTCTTTGCCTAATTTTCGACATTCTTTTCATTAGATTCTACAGTTGTAATCTGACTCTCTAGCTGTTCATTCGATTTATCATTTACGCTGCTTTCCGAGTGTGCACACCATGAATAAAGCCCTGAATGATTGATGAGTAGTTGTTTTACTAGTGAATCTTTGAGGTGGAGGCTTTTTTTGCGCAGCGAAGTACGCCACTGAAATACCGAAGGTACAGCATTGGTTTGAAGGCATATTTTGCCCGCAATACTTTTCTTCAAGTCTTCCATTTTAAAATGGTGCGAGCAGACCATGGTTGAGTCCAAGACTTTGAAGCTTTTTCCTTCCTCTCGACGGATTGCATGAAGCCATTGCTTTCTCGCGAGTTTTTCTTTGGGAAACTTGAAGTAGGATATTTATTAACCGTTTACGTCGCGATATCCCCTTGTAGTCCATGAAGGAACACAGCAGTGGCATGGCATTGTACATATTAACTTGAGCCTTAGCTATATTAGTAGTCGATTCTTTGAGAAATAAAGCTTTCTGGATCGATTAATAAATTGTGCCAGAAACTTTTTGACAAGCGCTCACAAGTGCACAAATCCATGCCCGGGTGGCCTCGTCCCCATGCACTAGTTTTAGTCTTCACTCGGCCGCCGCCATTATGGCAAAGGTGTATAAGGTGTCTTGTTGGAGCTATAACACTTCTCTCTGTTTTAACTTTAGTATAACATGCCTTGAGAGAAATTAATATCTTAACACATATTATTGTCATTTCATTCCAGGGAAGCAGCCTACCTCAGCCTGTGGATGACAGGATCATCAGACAAATTGAAAAGCTTGTCAATGAGGGAGTGAAAGACACCCATGAAATGCGGAGACACCTGACTGTCTACATAAAAAACGAAATATTAGCAAAGGATGAAATCCAACCATCTCCCTCAAACCATAGGTTTTATCCAAAGCTGAGTGATATAAGGAGCCACATGTAACGAGCTACCATAAAGCACAGATTCTCAAAAATTGATCAAGAGAATGTGGCAGAAAAAGTTATCCAGTGGAAAGCATCTAGCCTGGAGGACTTCATCTGCTTCCAGCCATGTGGAGATGTCTCTTCAGCCACAACAGATGGAGAAGACCACACTACAGAACAGGATCCCAGCACCTTTCTGTTTGTCCATCAAAGTGCCTGGCAGTGCAGACTCCTGAAAAGATATGGCAACATTTGTCTACTGGATGCCACATACAAAACTACCCGCTACGCTTTACCTCTGTTTTTCCTTGTGGTGTGCACAAATGTTGAGTACCAGGTAGTTAGATCATTTGTGGTGCAATTCAAACAGTATTCTGATAAAAATCAAACTCCGCTAAGTTGTCATTTGCTTTCGCAAATGCGAAACCTGATCGAAGTGTGGATGATGAAAGGTAGATATCTAAAATTTATCTAATTGAACTTTTCCAATGCCACCAGTTTTGAGAGTTTCAATTACAGTATTTGTGAGCTCCAATGAAGCATGCAACAGTATATTTGCTAACAATTTTTTGCCAAAACCTAAACAACAAATGAATTATCTGACTTGTGAAAAAAATTTATTTTGGCTGGGAAAATCTGACATATCACTCACTAGTCAGTAAGCTAGGCCAGAGTATATTG